TCTTCTAGTTTGGGTTGATACCTTCTCAGGGTGGGTTGAATCCTTCCCCATGACAGGCAAAAAACCCCATGAAGTTGTCTTCACCCTCCTCCACTACATTATTTCTAGATTCAGCCTCCCAAACTCCATTCAGAGTGACAATAGCCCAGCTTTTGATTAGCCAGATCACCTCCCAAACCTCATAAGCCCTAGGATTTCAGTGGCATTTACACATCCTTTAGGCCTCAATAATCAGGAAAAATAAAATAAATGAATGACATCCTTAATCCACATCTCACTAAATTAGTGCTCCAACACAAACAAGATTGGATTCAGCTTCTTTCCATCTGCACTTGTTCTATCCCTCAGAAACCCCTCTTTTATAGTTCTACTAAAATGGTGTATGACAAAACTATTATTCTAAGCCCTGGACCCCCTCCAGAATCTATCATAGGAAACTTTTCCCATTCTCCAGGAAACCAGGTATGAACTTAATAAAAACAACAGCAACAACAAAACAGCTCTTACCCCAACCCTTAGCAAAAAAAGTCAGAGACCAATTGGCAGGACAACAAGTTTTCCTCAAATTTCCCTTGCCCCACAGGACTCTATCTCCTTCCTGGACAGGCATTCACACCATTCTTTACAGCACCTCCATGACCATTTGCCTCTTAGACTCCTCAGTCTCGATCCACCAATCCTGAATAAAGCTGTGTCCTACAGAAAAACTTCCAACACTGGAAGATCCCCCACTAGAAATCACAAGTGTTATCCTCCACCACCTTAAAAGTCACCAGGATCCTCGGGAAGTCCACCTCCACATAAATGTGTAACATTCCTCCCCAATTTTTCCCTTTTCTCCATAACTTCTCGAGATGCCTGGCTACTCTCACATGTTCAAAGCTGGAATGACCCCTTTGAAGCCTTTAGAGATCTGTGGCTGCAAGACACCTTCCAAGATGCCCCCTGAGGAAACCTAGATTTTCCTCTTCCTACTCCTTTTCCTTCTGGCCATCCCTCCTGTCAGTCCTTGCCCCTCTCCCCTCCTGGTCAACCTTGACTGAATAGGTTACCTTACCACCCGAATCTCATATCCCCATGAATACTGTACCAACCCCAATTTCTATGTCAACTATACCTGATTCTTATCTCAGACTCCCTCTTTCCCTAGCCACACTTACATGCTAGCATACTGCTATAATGTTACCAAAGCCTCTGAATATTCTTATGGAGGAAAGAAGTACTGGACTGACAAAATAACGGGCACTTGAATGCCCCAGAAGTGGAGTTGGGACTACTGTCTGCTGCACCTACCTCATGCATGTAAGATTATCAGGTGGAGAAAGAGTCAAGGACATATCACATCAGCAAGAAACAATTCATCAAAAAACCTCCTCTGTTCTATTACAACCCCTGCACCATATAAAGGGTTAAACCTCACTGTCCTGCAAAACCTACAACACTCCCTTATTTCCTGGCTTTTACACACCTCCTTCTCAGCTGCCCTGAACTCTTCCCCCCAGGATGCTGGATGTGCCTTTCCTTATGCCATCATCTTTTCCATCTCATACTCATACCCAACACATATAACTCTTCCATTCCGGTAGAGAAAAACGTAGTTCTGTTTGGCCCGATAACTAGGGCTTTCCACCCCTTGTCTCCTCTAATTTAATCTACTGCTTCAATTTCACCAGTACAGGATACTGTGGGCTTTATAAAACCTGAGCTCCCTCAACTTGACTTTTCCCTTATCTAACTCCTCCTAGACCCCTCTGGGAATATTTTTCCTCTGTGACTGCTCCATCTATTGGTGCCTGTGTGCCAACCATTCTGGTCTTTGCATTCGAGTTTTCCTCACTGCCTCCCACTCTCTTTTGTAAATGACTTCTTCCTAACTCAGCCCCTGATGTATCCCCCTACTTCCAGACAACAAAGAGCCCTCTTCCTCCATGTATTCCCCAGAACAAGTATTGTGGCTGGACTTGGCACAGGCATTGCAGGCATTAGTGCATCAACTCACTTTTACCACCAATGCTACCTAGAATTCAATGAAAATATGGAAAAAAAAAACTCTTTAGTTAAACTGCTATCTCAAATTAGTTATTTGACCTCAGTCACCCTCCAAAATTGCCAAACCTTAGATTTAATTATAGTAGATAAACAAGGCACATGAATTTTTCTGGGAGAAGAGTGTTATTTCTTTAGTCAGGTATAGTCACAGGCAAAGTAAAAGAGCTCTGAGAATGAATAAAGCAGAGACAAACAAATCTTGAATCTAATTCTATGTCCTTATTTGATTCCTGCCCTCCTTGGTTACTTTCTATTTTAGGGCTACTAATTATGATCTTTCTCATCCTCAGTTTTGGACCAAAAGTCCTCCACCTCATCTCCCAATTTATTGACCAGGCAGTCACCCTAAAAACAACTACTCATATCTTTGCCCTATGAGGATATCAACCAGTTCATATTGAAGACCCAGGAATGTTCTGGTGAACACCACCTCCTCCCCTCTCCCTTTTTTTCCTTTATAGGTAGCCCATGATGAACTTCAACAACAGGAAGCAAAGAGACACCATCTCCATCACCCCGCATTCTTATAATAGACTAGAAAAACTGGGATAATAGAGCTGAGCACCGAAGGTCCTCAAAATAAAGCCGAGTACAAAAGCCCACTGAATGGGGCCAAGTATACAAGTCCTGCCTGGAAAAGGATGAGTGCACCAACCTGGGAACCCCTGACCCTTATATTCCTGTCCCACACTGCCCCTCACACTGACTTCCTTTTTGAACTCAGCACACTCACACCCAAGTGAATAAATGGTCTAGTTGCCCACACTGTATCTGGACTCTGTTTCCTTTTCTTCATGTCTCAGAAGAACCTCTCAAAAAGGGGGAGAGCAGAGTATGTAGTACATGACTACACCAATCAGAAAAACACACGCAGCAGAGATACAGGCATGAAATCCATCAACATGTTTACTACAATTGTATAACAAACTGCATTTGTTGGTATTTCCCAAATTTTTTTTTAAAGCATGAATTGCTTCAAATAGCAAAAGCATAATTAACATTACTATAAAAATAAATGAAATGCTGCTGCTATATAAAACTCTGTCCCCATTCAAAATACTTAGAAATGTTACTGACACATGTTCAGATTTGTAAAATGTGTATTATGGTTTAGTTGAAAGAAATATTTATCAATAAAGTGAAAATTTATCTAAAAATATTTTACTCCTTTGAATAAAATTTTTAAAAAGAAATGAAGTTGGGGCGGCACCTGTGGCTCAAAGGAGTAGGGCGCAGGCCCCATATGCAGAAGTGGTGGGTTCAAACCCAGCCCTGGCCAAAAAAAAAAAAAAAAAAGAAATGAAGTTGGCTGGGTACAAGTGGCTCATACCTGTAGTTCTTGCACTTTGGGAGGCCAATGCAGGAGGATCTCTTGAGGTCATGAGTGCAAGATGAGGTTGAACAAGAATGAAACCCTGTAATCCCAGATACCAGGAGTCTGATGCAAGATTGCTTGAACCCAGGATTCTGAGGTTGCAGTGAATGTGATAGCACTACTGCACTCTAGTTGGAGTGACAAAGCAAGATCCTATCTTAACAAAAAAAGTGATGAAGTTGGTTGGCAGTGAAAGATGTGGGTTGGAAGCCCCAAGCACACCTGCATCAGTCTCGTGCACTTCTGGCACCTGCTCAGCACTCACTCCTCTTCCTCTTTTTTGGAGAACTCATGTTCACTTCTGGGTAACTCATTGTCAGCTCTAGGTCTAAGAGTGGCCAGACCCTTGCCATCCACTTGTTCAGGAATTAGCACGAGTCTTAATTCATAAGAAGAAGCCAAAGACAAAAAAAAATTTGCTGAGCTTTCTGAGAATATCCTCATTAGTTTTTCCAGACTAAATCATCTCTCTTTTTCTCAGATGTCCAGTGGGCTGTGCTGCCCAGAGGGGTGTAGTCCAGAGTCTCATAGGAACAGCAGGGGCAGGGGACCAAGTTCACCCAAGATCTTTGTAAAAATTAAAAATCTTATAGTAGTTGAAAATATGAGTATGATAAAAAATCAAAAGAGCACAATAAGATATAACAAAATATAAAATTAAAGGTATATCCCCCCCACAAGATCTTTGATGTTCTCTCACATAAGGTAACCACTGTTAACAGTTCATGCTTTTTGTTTCAAAGCTTTACTTGGATTTCTTGAATCTAAAATACAACTGCTTTTATAAGCATGCATACTTTAAATAAATATATATACATATATATATATATAACAAATATATAACATATATATATATTTTGAGACAGAGCCTCAAGCTGTCCCCCTGGGTAGAATGCTGTGGCATCACAACTCACAACAACCTCCAACTCCTGGGCTCAAGCGAGTCTCCTGCCTCTGCTTCCCAAGTGGCTGGGACCACAGGCGCCCGCCACAATGCCTGGCTATTTTTTTTTTGTTTTTTTTTTGGTTGCAGCTGTCATTGTTGTTTGGTGGGCCTGAGCTGGATTCAAACCTGCCACCTTAGGTGTATGTGGCTGGCGCCTTAACCACTTGAGCCACAGGTGCCGAGCCAGTATATATATGTTTTAATAATTCTTAAAAATAACATATTTTCCTAAAACTCTTTAAAAATTCAACAATACATTTTATAGATCTTTCCATATCAGCACATACCTCATTATTTGGATGCACCATAGCTTAGGTAACCAGAATCTTACTAATTTGAATATGTAACACATTTCATATATTTTGATAAGAGGTTGATAATGTTTTCAGCATTACGTTATTACAAATGATCCTGTAATAAACATCCCCAAGGTAAATCTAAGTGGAATTGTCAAATTGCCCTCTGAGAGGTTGTACTAATATATAGTCATATCAAAAGGATGTCAACATCTTTTAATAGTTATACAATATTTAATCATGTGTATGTACCGTAGTTAGCTGAACCATTCCCTTGAACCTGGATATTTATTTCAAGGAAGTCAGTAAAAAGGAAGTAATAATAATTGCTTGCCTGCCACAGTGGAGGTACTTTCATCTTCAGAAAACAGTTAAATATTTCTTCCAATTCTTTATTGAGGACGATCTCTCCCTTTATAGCAAGGTGAAGATCTTTTAAAGATTTATGTATGACAGATAATAACTTATCAAATCGTTCAATTTCTTGGTTCAGAAAGGTTAACAAGACAGAATGGATTAGGGGATCATAACCTGGATTAAAAAAAGAGACAAAATTTTGATAGTTTATAAATTAAAAAGAAGCTTTACATGGGGGGGAATAGGTTTTGAAAATTAAAGGAATTTCATATATTTTGATAAGAGGTTGATAAACATTTTCTGTAGAGGGTCAGATGGCAAATATTTTAGGGCTTGTGGGCCATACCCTCTGCCAAATCTAGTCAGCTCTGCCCTTGTAGGAAGCAGCCAGCCATAGACAATACATAAGTGAATGTATGTGGCTGCATTCCAATAAGCATAGCTCACCTATGCACCTAAATGTGAATTTCACATTTGTGTTACAAAGTATGATTCTTGTTTTGATTTTTTTTAACCATTAAAAAGTGTGAAAACGATCTTAGTTTATAGGTTGTATAAAAACAAGTGGTGGGCTGGATTTGCCCCATGAACCCTAATTTGCAGACACTTGGTCAAAGTTTAACAATAGTATTATTTTGGGACACTATTGCTCCACATTTGATTCCATAATGAATGTTTTGAAAGTGTTAGAATACGGATGCTAAAATTTAACTAGGAAAATTACACAGTCCAGCAATTTAGGTCCTTAGAGCTGGGCCAGGAGCCAATTCTGGGCAACCAGGCCCCTCTCTCTGAGCCTGCCCTGACTTCACTTAGTGCCTCAGAGTCAAGAGATCTTCTAGCAGAGGGATTGTATAAACTTCAATGCCCAAAATGCTGTGTCAAGAGGCAGAGAGGTAGAAAGACAGAGAGAACAGGGACTAGAACTCTCCCAAGCATAGCTTTCACTTTGTTCACTTTTGGTCTCAGTGCCATGCACCCCCACCCACCCACCCCCCAACTCCCAAACTGCAGTGTTATTTTCTCCTGTTTCCTGTCTTCCAGATGGAGAGAAAAGGAGGTGGAGCTTTTAGCTTTCCATCTGTGTCAGTATTTTTACTTCTGTGGAACTTTTTGTCCTGTTTCTACATTCCTTGTAATGTCAGAGTCCTTTCCTGAGGAGGCTGAGGTGAGAGGAAGAGGTTCATGTCCCATGCTCACTTTTGAGACTTCTAGAAAGAAATTCCCAAATGGGGCTGGACATCATGCCCTTCAATGTGCGTGGAGCCCCACCAGCACTGTCTCTTTTCTCAACTGTCAGTGGCAACCGCTTTTGCATGTCAGACAACATTTCCATCACCAGTTCATCATTACTCTGCTCAGGTCTACAAAAGAAATTAAGAGAAGAAGGTAATACACAGGGAGAAGGTGGAGATAGGAAGAGATTTGTTAAAGGATACAAAATTACAGATGGGTAAGAAGGAATAAGTTCTAGTGTTTATAGCACTGTGGGGTGACTACAATTGACAATAATATATACTTTCTAATAGCTAGAAGGGAGAATCTTGAATGTCCCCAACAAAAAGAAATGATAAATGGGGCCAGGCATGGGTTCATGGCTGTAATCCTAGCACTCCGGGAGGCTAATGTGGGTGGATTGCTTGCTTGGATTGCTTGAGCATAGGAGTTCAAGACCAGCCAGAGCAAGAGTGAGACCCCATCTCTATTTAAAATAGAAAAACTAGCTGGGCATTGTAGTGGGTGCCTTTAGTCTCAGCTACTGGGGAAGCTGAGGCAAGAGGATCACTTTAGCCCAATAATTTGAGGTTGCTGTGAGCTGTGATGCCACAGCACTCTGCCCAGGGCATTGTAGTGAGACTTTGTATAAAAAAAAAAAGAAGATAAATGTTTGAGATGATGTATATGCTAATTACCCATCTGATCATTATAGCACTATGTATCCCATAAATATGTACAATTGTGCACCAATTAAGATAATAAAAAACTTAAAGAAATAAACGAAAGGAAGAATGAGATACAGGTATGTTTAATCTAGGAGGGCTTTCTGTTTAGATCTCATCTAAAGGTAAACATACTTTCAAAGAATTACAAAACTATTAATATAATATGGAAGGTCATATGGTGGCCATGGAGTTCGCTTCATTTTGCAGATGAGAAAACTGTTCAGTGTACTTTAGATACTTGTATTTTAAAAGTTCTCTCAGGATTACTTTGTAAAATAGTAATCTGTAAAATAGCCAGTGAAGGAAGTACCAAGACTGAATGAAAAAGAGGAGGCAACTAGACAGAGTATGCTTAAGGAGCCTTACAGGTTATTCAACTGCTTGTCAAATTCCTCTGTGTTTACATAAAGGGTTTCCTGATAGCATACCCAGTGGGTGGTGACAAGAGGACAGTGCGTGCAGGTCTGGGTCAGGTTGTGATACTAAGCAACACCACAAAACACTAGAGCTAGAGTAGTTCTTTGGAAATCTGGGCCTGGAGAGACAGCCAGTGGATGAGTGGGATTGGGATACTCTTTTTTTCTTTTTAAATTTCTGTTGCAATCAGGAATGATTAGTATAAATATGATACAATACAAGGAGCTTTCCCTGCATGGGAACTGACATCTTTTTTTTTTTTTTTTTT